CCCCCAGGGAGTTGCGTAGCTTTCTGGGCCTGTGTTCTTACTTTCGTCGATTTGTTCCGAATTTCGCTGATAAAGCACAACCACTGACTGACTTGCTGCAAAAGGATGTCCCTTTCCACTGGACACCGGATTGCGAAGCAGCCTTTAAGCAGCTTCGGTTCATACTGACTTCAGGACCGGTACTACGCCATTTCGATCCTTCTGCTGAAACGGAAATTCACACAGATGCCAGTGGAATCGGCCTTGGTGCAGTGCTCGTTCAGCTCCATGACAATGCTGAACACGTGGTCGCTTACGCGAGTCGTTCGTTGAGCAAGGCAGAACGAAATTACACAGTCACTGAACAGGAGTGCCTCGCAGTCGTTTTCGCCGTGCACAAGTTTCGCCCATACATCTACGGCCGTCGCTTCTCGGTAATCACCGACCATCATTCTCTATGCTGGTTGGTAGGCCTCCGAGACCCATCTGGACGACTGGCGCGACGGGCTTTGCGCTTACAGGAGTTCGACTTCACAGTACGCTACAAGAGCGGTAACCGGCACGCAGACGCCGACTGCCTATCGCGCTTTCCTCTACCGACGACGGAGTGCGACGCTGACAACTTCGACCAGTATATCGGCGCTATTGCCTCCGAGTTCCCTGATCTCGCGACTTTCCGGACAGCCCAACAAGAGGACCGCTCCTTAGATTCTCTGTTCGCCTCCGCAAATGAACACGCAAACCCAAGCTCTTTTGTGGTTCATGACGGCGTCCTTTACAAGAAGAACTATTCCGGACAAGGCGCCCCGCCCGTCTGCTTCTAGTTGTACCACGCACTTTACGGGCTCACGTCTTTCGGTCCTTACACGACGACGCAACCTGCGGCCACATGGGCTTCGCCAGAACGCTTCAACGAATCCAGCAAAGGTTCTATTGGCCCAAGATGCGACACGACACGGAAAAATACGTTGCTGGATGCGAACAATGCCAACGACACAAACGTCCCACGGCTACGCCGCCAGGACTTCTCCATCCTATTCCACCTCCTAACTCTCCCTTTGAGACTGTTGGTGTCTATCTGCTCGGTCCATTTCCACGAACGAGCAGTAACAATCGATGGGTCGTCGTCTGTGTTGACCACCTAACGCGCTACGCAGAAACTGCTGCAATACCTGCTGCAACGGGCATGCACGTGTCGCAGTTTATGCTTCACTGTATAATTCTCCGCCATGGTCCTCCACGCGTTGTCATTAGCGACCACGGACGTCAGTTCGTTGCCGACATCGTTGAAGAGATCCTGCGTCTTTCTGCCTGCCATTTCCGCCATGCCACACCATATCACCCGCAGACCAATGGTCTCGTAGAGCGCATGAACCGGACTCTCACGAACATGCTGTCTATTTATGTCGATTCTAAGCACAAAAACTGGGACGAAGTGCTACCTTACATCACGTACACGTACAATACCGTGAAGCATGAGACTACAGGTTGCTCTCCATTTTACCTGCTGTACGCTCGCTCCCCACGATTTTGTCTCGACACTACACTACCTTTTACACTAGACGTGGAAACCTCGACAGCCGAGACGCTCTGCCGCGCAGAAGAAGCCCGTTGCATCGCACACCTCCGAACCTTGGCATCCCAGCAGCGTTCTAAGAAACGTTACAACGCCTGCCATCGCTCCGTATCTTATAGTAAGGGCGATCTTGTGTGGTTATGGACACCAGTCCCCAAACGTGGTTTGTGCCAGAAGTTCTTGGCTCAGTATTCCGGTCCATTCGTCATTCTTGACCGCCTCAGCGACGTCACTCTAGCAAAACACAACTGACACACGTTGCGCGCCTTAAACCGTGCCACCATCAACCATCTGAGTGACTCGCCCAGAGGGCATCGTCTGCGAACCGGGAAGTGAAACGCGCTAGCGAGGATTGGATGAAGAGGAGGAAGAGACTCGACTGGCTCGCGAGCGACGCTGTGGATCCTTCGCTGAGCTACATCTCTGCGTTACCCATCTTGTAAATAAACGCGTTCCATCGTCACAATATTTAGGGCGGTAGGTGTCGCAAACTGATAGGCTATTGCTCCATAGTCTAGGTGAGTGCATATGAGGCTTATATACAAGTTCATCAGACACTTCTTGTCACCCGTTCTCCCCCACATAACGCGTTACAACACTTTTAGAACATTCATGGCTCTGATGCACTTGTTTTTTAGATATTTGATGTGTGGTACGAAGGTCAGCTTGGTGCCCAGGTTTAGGCCTAAGAATTTGTGTTCGGCATTAACAGATAGATGTTGACCATGCAATTGAATTTCAGCGTCGGCATGAGTGCCTCTCTTTCTGGAGAACAAGACACATGTGCTTTTTTGTGGGTTCAGTTGGAATCCGTTTTCCTGTGCCCGTTTGGAGACCTTGTTAAACCAAGCTGAACTTGCCGCTCACAGATTGCCAGGTTACAAGACTTAAATCCAAGCTAGACGTCATCTACATATGTGCAGTAAAACATATTTTGCAAGATGCAAAAATGCAACGAATTCATTTTGATAATAAAAAAGTGCAACTACGTACACCACCTTGCAGCACTCCCGATTCTTGGACAAATGTTCGGGAAAGAACGCGACCCACTCGGACATGGAATTTTCAATTGGACAAGTAGCTTTAGATTATGGTAAACATTCTGCCACGCACACCAAGATGGCATAGGTCTCTTAATATTCCAAAGCGCCATGTTGTATAATAAGCTTTTTTGATATCAAGGAACACAGAAAGTATATTTGTGGACAAAGCCGCCTTGATTCGAACCAGGTGGTCGATGGTGGATCTACCCTCCCAAACCCGCACTGGAATAGGTCGAGCTGATTGTTTCAAGGAAATGGCGTTTTACCATTTTTTTTAAGAAAAGTTTATGCATGCAACTTGTAAGTGCGATTGGCCAGTACCTACTAACGGAAGATGGATCTTTGCCTTGTTTTAGACCCAGAATAACAATGGCTCATTTTCAGACAGAGGGGATCTCACCGAAAAACCAGATAGTGTTGACACAGGGAAGCTAGGGTTCTTTGCATTTCGAAAGGCAGTTGTTTTAATATTTCATACACTATCCGATCTGAGCCTGCAACAGATTTATTTCAGCCATTTGGTGATGCTTCTACAGGGGTGGAAGTGGGCTTGTTTTGGAGCAGCTCAGGGAGCAGGAATAATGTTTTGGTGGAGCTTTGGTGCAGTAAAAGGAGAGTTTTGAAGCAGGTTTGGAGCACCAAAGAGTGTGTTTTGGAGCAGAGAAATTAGTTTTAGAGCAGCTATCTGGGGTCAAACATCATCGTCAATCGTAATTATTTCTGGTAAAAAAATTTCAATGCTTTTCACTAAAGATTCAGTACTAATGAGCTTTTGAGACTTACCACCCACAGATGTGTGCGTGCATGCATGTTCCCATCATTAAGCAACACAGCTGACAGAGAATTCTCAAAGCTTACCTCGTTTTCATAGCCGCAAATCACGGCGCACTTCGCTCCCCATGCTAATTAAACACACTACTCTGCTCATCTGCACTCAATTTGGAGCTAAGTGGCGATGAGAAATTCACACGGCTAGCTCGCGCAAACGGTAAAGCGAGCCACCAGGCAGCGACAGCGTGGGTAGCATAGGCGCCGCGTTGCACGCAAATAAACAGGAGTACACGTGACTGCTCCATGTTTCAATGATACTGTCAGTTGTAGCTTAGTATCCGATCGCGGTAGAGAAGCACACGGATGTATCGGGGAACACCAATAGTACCCGCGTTGTTGCTATCTTAGTCGCTGCTTATCCTGGACCCTGCAATAAATACTATAGTTTCGAAATGTTCCTTGGCGTCGCTACCGCACGCTATGAAATGATAGCGCGAGAGAGCCAGCAGAGCATCTTTCGTGCACTTTGGTAAAAAGGAGGAAAGGACTTTCTGCTGGATACTTTGGGCAACATCTGCTGTGGTACTGTGTTTATTTGTGGCGATGGCACACGTTGGAGAATCACATTTGTACTTGTAAACGCGCACTGCCGTTTAGTGCATTTGTATACCAAACAATTTGCAGCTACTCGTGTTGGTGCAACCACTTTTGCGGGAAAACCACGGCGATAACAACGATGAGACGAGCACTACCGAGCCCTACGAATGAACCGAATCACAACATGATTGAACTACACTGGATATGGATGTGGCCGCATGCTTTGTGTAGGCAACCTTCGGTGTTGCTCAGTCGACAATAATAATCGGCTAGATTTGGCGTTTTACACTTACAATCGACAATTATCGCAGATATTGCCATTTATGCGCAATCTGGAGGTCAGATTGGCGCAAAATGGCATAATTGTTGCAGCACTTCCACCCCTGCTTGTAACTCGCCAAAGAGAAAGGGTTATTGTGTGCCTCGTGTTTAGATGGTTTTCACTCCAGTTTCTATTTTTCGATTTTTGTTAAGTCGTTGAAAAGCTGCAGTATAATGCAAAGAGCTGGATACCTCTTCAAAGTGGGCCCCGAGGAAGTTCGATGCTTTATGTCACTTGCTTCAGCAATTGGATCCCAACATACCTGTTATGCAATCAGGAGATGGTGCCTTGACGAGACAGTGGGACATTGTTTTCCTACTTTTTGAAATGAGACTCATGAGTCAGTAGAACATATATGCCCCACTTTTGTTCACTAAACTACTGGCTTGATTTGGCCAAAGTTTCTTTCGTACTAGTTCTTTGTACTTGACATCAATATACCACAGCTGGTTTTTGTATCACAGTGCCACAAATATAGGTGAAACTATAATGGGCTAAAAGGTGATGATTCCAAAAGTTCTCCTTTCATTATCATACAGATAACCACTGTTATAATAGACAATGGTGTACGAGACCGTTCGGTATAAGCACCAACACCACTGTGCCTTCATCAAAATCAAAATTTTCACTGCATTAAAATTTACTCTATTCTCTTGCAAAAACAACTTCCATAATAAAATTCTGAAAACTAAAATGGAATAACAAGACTTACGATGTGCTCGACAAGGGCTCCTCGAAAGGCCTAGAAATAAATAAATTTCAGTAGGTTAATAAAGAACCACCTATCAAATCAATGAATGTGCAAGACTAGTCTAATGTCAGTCATATTGTTAAGCTACTCTGTGTACTGACACTGCACTATAACACAACATAACTGAAAATAAAAAAGAACTACCTATCTCTAATAAATTATGTATAACAATAAATTATATATAACAATGATCAATTTAGCACTGCACAAAAGTACATCAATCTTACCTCCAACTTCTTTGCCAGCTGCTGCCGGCGTTTCTGAGTCTCTTCAGCAGCCTTCTTAGCGATCACTAATGTAGCAAGAGGTGGGTGGGCATCAGCAGCACTTGAACCAGATCCACAGCCAGGGCCTTGAACAGGAGACGAAGTCCTACGACGTATTGAGCTGGGAAGCACATTTTCTGAGGCAAGGGAAGTTGCTGCTGTGGTGGATGCAGACACGGGCCCTGTATCTGATGGGATCTGCGGGTTACGTTTGACTAGAGCCTGGCAGTTGCCACCATCTTTGGCCCCACAGTCACAGAAAAAGGAGCCAAACTTGGCATATGTCACATCATGGTCCTTGTGGCACACCCTGGCACAGATAGTACAGACACCTACACCATCCACCATACGGCATGTGTGGCAGTGATACCAGTGCTGATTCATGAATTCCTTCTGGGTCATGGTGAAGGTGCAAAGCTTGTTGCAAAGAGAATCTTCATCGGAGTCTTCGCCACCAGATTCATCGTCCTCGGGACCCAGCTCATCAGCCCAATCAGAGTCCGGTTCTGGGTGTTGACCATCACCATCTAGTGGTGGGCTGGCAGCTCCACTCCGGCCAACATTGAGTGGTCTTTCAGCCAGAAGCTTGAGGGAGCCCACTAAGTCCGCAATGTATGAGAGTACGCAGCAAGCAGCATTCATGATGACCTGGTGCTTCCCGCTACTGACATTGTCCTCTAGCTTCTCTAGCACATCTCTCTGGGACAAATACTTCCTGCAGGCCTCGAGCCATTCTGTTGCTGCCTTGAAAAGCTGCAGATGGCCGCAGCCAGACCCTGCATTTGCCAAAGTGGACATGGCATCCATGAGGTCAGAGAAGCCAATGCCTGCAGATGCTGGAGATAAAAGCTGGGTTCCAATTTCAATCAGTGCTGCTAAGAAAGAACCAGCCATCTGAGTTGACACCTTGCTGTTTTCTTTGACCATATAATTTGCGAAGTGCTGAAGCAAAAGTCGATTCATTTGAACAGAAAGGCTATTATGACTGAATTTTGCTCCCTTGGAACCAGTTACAATTTTGCTTAGCCAGTTTTGGAGAGATTTTAAGTCTAGTTCATTCAGTCGGTTCATTCTGGAGAGCGTGGCATTTAACTTTTCCATACTTGGATCACCAGGACTTCTGTTAATTTGGATGAAGAGTTTGCTGTACAACTTGAGAACACGGGTTCCATATGCAGGACTCAAGTTTCCTTCCGCTGCAGACAACAAAATGTTCCAGATGTCTGTATCACAGAAAAATTCTTCCAGAGCTTTTTTGCCAGGCTGCTTGTCCACGAGATTCTCCATGAACTTTAGGCATTCATGAAACACCAATTCATTGAGTTCACTTTCTTTGTGAGAGTAATCGATAACCAGCTCATAACTGTTTGCCAACATCTCTTTATAAACATGCTGTGCGAACTCCTCTGTGTCCGAGGACCCAATTATGCCTTCAAGCGCAAGCGTTACAAAGTCTGTCTGAGACTCGGTGGTAGCGTCTAGCAGCAGTGGCAGCATGGCCCGCACAAAATCATTAGAGAACTTGTCTCCTGCAGACCAGCAGTAGACATCTTGAGCAAAGCGCACAAGGCACTGAAGAATGCGCTTCAGGCTGGAGTTGATCAAGAATGTAGAGTTTGCCGACAAAGGGGAGAAATGAGCAACTTGCACGGCTGCAATGTAGCTCTCTGATGGAAGGCTGTCATTAGCAAAGTCATTTCTCCAGTTGCAGACATTTACTGCCATTGCATTCCAAAAATCAAGGGTGCAGTCCACTTGTGGTGGCAAATGTGACACAATTGCAGCAACGGTGCTTGAAACCTGAGAGCAGCGCCGTGAAGTCATTCGCAGAACAACGTCCATAGCACGCAGGCTTGTTTCTGAACGCCCTGTAGTTGACAAGTCGATGGCCTGGAGCAAAAGACTCCACCTTTCAAAAAATAACAAAAGGAAAAAAAAAGCAAAGAGGAGAGAGAAAAGCAGAAAGTCAAGGGCAGTTCAAAAGCATGGTTCATCAAATACACACTTTTCTAGTGTCTCAACAAAGGTGACTCACAGAATTGAAACTAACATTATAAATATTCATCAAATGAAAACAATAACACATCTACTACTTCTTTACATTATATTTTCATTTGTTTTTTCATTCCTACTCACATGCAGCCCAAAAAGTAATGTCTCATGATTCATGACAGCCATTATCTCTCCTTATTTTATTCAAAAGGTTTGCCACTGTCTGTAACTGCATATAATGCACATGCTTTTTTTTTTTCGTAGCTACTGTTTGGTATAAGCTCTCTCCTCATTTTTAAACGTTTTTGTGTATTATTCATAATTACACACTTAATATATAAAGATAAAAACCCAAATTCAGGAGCGTATTTCTTACACGAGACCCTTCTCCAACACAATAGTTTATTATCACTAATTTCACTCTTCATCACCATTTGAAAAACTGCTTGCAGGTAAACCTGAAATGGATTTTTTTCTTTACAGACTGTTCCTGTGGCATCTGCTACATGGCACACTGAACAAAAATAACAGGACTGCTAAATATAATTCAGTACTACTCAACTCAAATACCACAAATGCATAAACATTTTGTAGAAATGGTGCTTCCAGGAATATTCTCTGTTCACTATTTTTTTATAATTACATTGGTTGTCATATAAGGTTACCACAACTGCCTCAAAATCTGAGGTCAAAAGAAGCGAGTAGAAAAGAGCAAAGCTAAAAACAGTGCGAGAGAAAGGCAAAGGTAGATGAAAGAAACAGGAAAAGGCAACTACAGATCAGGCAGATAAACATAGGGGTCCCATCTATGTGAACATGAGGCCAAAGGGGTGTGTCACCTTCAAGAGAAGGCCTTACAGGTCCAAGCACACAACTTCAGCCCAGCCGCCAGGGTCACATTTACTTGAAACAAAGCCTGGCCATTATGAGTGGAGATTTTCAACTCCCATGTGCTTGGGTCCAAAGTATCGCAAGACAACAAGGCCTGCCAATGCAGGCACCCCTGTTGGATTCCCACGAATATCAATGTATTCATCACATCAGATGAAGAGCAGTGATTCATTTTAGAGGATATAGCATTCAATGTTGTACCACTTTGGTCGACATGCAGGTTTATGTTGGCAAGCTATAGTGGCAGAATGGCCACCAAAGGTTCACATTTACCAATCACCACAGTGTGCTGGACAAGACTTCTTTTCGGCTTTCTGCCTGTTATTCCCAATTTTGTGTGCTTTGTATTACGAGATTAGAATGGGACAGAAATTACAGGACAGGTGGTGCATAAACTCAACTGGCTCATTAACACCTTGCGAAGCGTCAAATAAGGGTTAAAACCAGATAGGAGGCATAAGGCAAAGAGCAGGACACAGCAAAAAGACTAAAAGAAAAAGATGACACAAGAATATTTGTCACCACTATGAGCTGTGTACGCAGCGTGCCACAAGATTACCGGCTTTTTTACAATTGTTGGCAGACGTATCTGTGTTCCAGGTGACATTGTTTAATACAGCGACCTGTCTGCCTTAGGTATTTTTTTACCATAGGCTATCAGAATACTGCGCACAACCTTGTTTTAGTTGGTGATCATGAACAATCACCAACTATCCCAATTCATCGCTCTGCCTGTCATTCAGCTGCTGTGAATAGGGCGCTGATGCTGCAGTGTCAGACAGTGGTCCATGGCTATCAATATGATGTTTAACAAAACTGACTTCCTTTTGTGGGCGAAATCTTAATTTAAATAAAAGGACAGTCTAAAAAAATTTCTTTAGCCTCTTTGCTATAAAGATAATCGAGTGGCAAACCTACTTTGACAAAAACATTCATTATAATTAAGGGTGGGTGTTATACTACACTGTGCAATTTCACCAGCTGTTATATATTGAGGTCAAACTGTACTACTTTACATAACTTTGAAATGAGATAAAAAGCAATTCATAGCGTATAAATAGCTTAATATTTCCAAATCAAGTTTGGAGCCCATTCAGTGAAACATTCAGCACAACGTACCCACTGATTTACTGAATTACACTACACTGCTGTTAATTATATATCACACTTTTCTCTCCGTACTGGCAATGTGTCACCAAGTGACACTCACTGTGGTAAAGTGTACTTAGTCACAGTATCATTGAATTTTAAGTTTGAATGGCTGATAAGCTCCACAAGGCAAGGCACATTCACTACCTGATGCAAGTGTTGTAGAGCTTGATCAGACGAAGAAGAATCGGTAAGATCTCCCATGAGAACTCCTTGAACTCCTCCCGCATAAGATTCTCATTCTGAAAGAAAATACAAAAACGAAATACCACCATACTTAGCAAACTGTTCTTAAAAGTAAGTGACCACATGCCACCCACTTTCCAACAACTTGACTACAATTACATTTTTAGATTGATTGATACGTGGGGTTTAACGTCCCAAAACCACCATATGATTATGAGAGACGCCGTAGTGGAGGGCTCCGGAAATTTCGACCACCTGGGGTTCTTTAACGTGCACCCAAATCTGAGCACACAGGCCTACAACATTTCTGCCTCCATCGGAAATGTAGCCGCCGCAGCCGGGATTCGATCCCGCGACCTACGAGTCAGCAGCCGAGTACCTTAGCCACTAGACCACCAAGGCGAGGCACAATGACATTTTTAAAAGAAAAAAAAAAATCCTATCCTTAATAAAATTTTCCCTGTGAAGTAAGCCATTTTTATTATGATAATGGTGCATAAAGTTTGCGTATAAAATTAAACAGAACTTGAATTAGCATGCAATAAAAAAAATGTAATACACCGAGTGACACCTAAGCCTTCATGTGTGTTTGTTTATCCTCCACATGACAAATGGGAGCCAGCTGAGTGCAACTGACACCCAATTTTATATCCAACTTGCACAAACCAGTGAGGAAGCTACTGTAGGCAGGGTGTCGAAACAAACTGTATTTAGTGTACGTTCACTTTCCTTGCACCTTGAAAAGCTCCGTTCCGTATCAAAAAAAAGAAAAGATGTTCCATAACGGCTTGTACTGGTTTTATCTATGTGAAAATTTGAAGTTGAAATAATTGTAAAAACAATGAGTTTGTATTAATTACTTGCATTTTTCGAAAGAAGGTGGGAGAGGGGTAAAACACATTCTCATGTTTCCAAGAGGAATGCAAGTAGGTGTACTCAGTGATGTGATTGGCAGAGGCCATTTTAGAGCAGATTTTTGGAGTAGCGAAAAGCACCTTTTGAAGCAGAAAAGACGCTTTTTGGTGCAATCAAAAGCATATGTTAGATGGAGCCACCAAAAGTGCATTTTGAAACAGGAGAAAAGGAAGGGATAAAAAAGCTTTATGAGCAACCAAGAGCGTAAATTAAAGCAGAGGTTAAGGCTGTTGGAGATGTTCAAGGGTCATTTCAGAGTGGAAAAACTGAATTTCTGACAACTAAAACAGTTGAAAAAATTACACCATCTCCCGCTAAAGGGAACCATGAGTAGACCCGACGCCGCAGGCGCTAACACTTACACTAGTGGTGGCGTTGCGCAGGAGGAAAGCACGCAGTGATAAACCGGTGTTTCCTACTACAACATGTCAATCACTGCTAATAGGCAATGAGAGAGACAAGACTCCAATTGGACACAAAGACCCACAGAACACTTTTAGTTGACATACACACTACAAACTTTTATTGTTCAACAACAACACACAGGAGAAATCTCCCATCAGCCCTACCTTGTAGGTCGAGATCCCATGCCTACATATACGGGATGGCCAGAGAACAGAGCCCGAGCAGTCATTTTTTTTTTTCAATCAAACTCGCTAACAGACACTGCGCGCATTGACGTTGTGGGACGAGATAGTAGGAGGGGACATGCATGCACAGTGGAGTGTGCACACCACCGGACCAAGTTCACTCATAAAATGCTTCGCATCTAATAAAGCGCAGCTAAGAAGCATTTCATAAAATTCCATGCACAACAGCTGATTCATTGATATGTGGGGTTTAACGTCCCAAAACCACCATATGATTATGAGAAACGGTTTAGTGGAGGGCTCCGGAAATTTCGACAACCTGGGGTTCTTTAACATGCACCCAAATCTGAGCACACGGGCCCTAAACATTTCCGCCTCTATCAGAAATGCAGCCGCCACAGCCGGGATTCGATCCCTCGACCTGCAGGATCGAATTCACAAGTACTATCGACCTATGCTGGTAAGGCAGCTACCCAGCCAGATGAATCCGCAACTGGCACGAGCTAATTCTTCTATGCTACTGCACCCAGCCGTGTCGTCATGACAAGAGTGGCGAGTCTTGAAGAACAACTGAACGTTATTGTAGCTCAGTTGGGCAAACCTACACTCATTCAATACATCCAACTCCCTTGCAATGTCAGTAGCAGCAAACATATTGATGCTCATCAGGCGAGGTAGCGCGATTCATTGTGTGCCTGCGGGTCATCTCACTGCGCTGCAATAAAACGAATCTCTACATCACGGTAACAAAATGTGCCGTTTTTGAGTTCATCCTCGCTGTGTATGGGAGGCTACCAGGGGGCCAGGGAGTTCGGATGTGCCTCGGTTGTTTTGTCTGGTGGAAATTGTGCAGTTACAGCAAACAACTCCTATAATCGCCTGCCTGAAGTTCTAGGGATCATCTAGACCACGACTTCAGGACTGTGAGTACGTTTTGGGACATTTTATGGCTATTTTGGTGTCGACTGTGTCTCCGCCTAGCAAAGCCTAACGCTAGCAATGAAGAAACGCGGCGGCTCGGCGGTGGCCGACGCCCCCGGCGTTCGCGTCAGAGCCTCGTTGTGGAGACGCGACGGCAATGAAGGTGACCGTGGAGGGTACTGAAATTACCCCTAAAGAATTCAGAACCGTGGACTGGATCACGAAAGTTGAAAAACATGTCAAAGAGCTGCGGGACTCCGCTAGAGGTGACAGACAGGGACGCCAAGATGGCAACGCCCTGGCAGAAGTGGAGCCGAGCCCGGCGAAGACAGGAAGAAGACGGCAGCTGCGAACGCAGCATACAAAAAGCTGGGGCACAAGATGGCGGAGCGCTTGATTGTGTCGTACCTACCGCGGTTGTTGGCGAACGACTACAAGATAATCCTTCGTCCGAAGTGCGGGCTGGCGCTCACAAAAGTTCCGAACAACAGGCTCAGTGAGGCGGTGCGCATGGCAGCGCAAATTCCGTGGATTAAGGGACAAGAAAAGGAAGTGCTCATTGTTAATGACAAGCAAGGCACCCTGATTTTCAGCACTCCAGACATAGACACTGTCTCGCAGGTGACCAGGATTAAGTCTATCAAGATTGAAGGCAAGAACTACGACGTCACGGTGTACCTCGTGCCGCATGAAGATAGCGGGCGGGGTGTGGTGCGAGGCATCGACCAGAGATTGTCAGTAGATGAACTGACAGAGGCTTTCAACAACTCAAGGAACCCACCGATACTTGGCGTTAAGAAGCTGGGGAACTCAAGTTCAGCGGTCATCATCTTCAAAAATGAGACAGTGCCCAGGTGGATGTACTGTTACGGCGTACCACTGAAGTTCGTGCTTTATAAGAAACGATACGAGGTGTGCTACCGATGTGGCCAGCTAGGACACAGATCGGACGTGTGTATCAGCGACCATGTTCACTGCCGGGGATGCGGAATGACAGCTGCACCCGAGGACCATGCATGTGACCCAAGTGTAAGCTGTGTGGCAAAGGTCATCTGACAGCAGATCAAAAATGCAAGGAAGCTTTCAGGACCCCTTATACAATAAAAAAGAGACAGCGGGAGGCCTGGCGACGCATGGAAGGAGAAGAGCGGAAGGCGAAAGACGCCAATCCCCAAACGTGCAGAATGGAAGAGATCAAAGAACGGTCCAGGAGTCGGTCGAAGCATCGGAATGGGTCAAGAGGAAAAGCAGGTTCCTTCCCAAGACTACCGAAAAGACAAGAAGGAGAGCTGCCCCCAATGACTGGTCCAGTAAATGAAGGGACTTCCGGCAGTGCTGTCGTCAACAGTGGGAGACCTACGTCGCCAAACCGCAAGGTGGGTTGGGGAGAGAGGGCCTCCCAGGATAAACGTTGTGGTGTACACTTATCCCGAAGGAGTACGGCCACCAGCGTGGGTCCGGTCTTAGCGAGCCGCAGGGCACGCGTCAACCGTCGCCGTGGCGGGAAACACGATACTGCTCAAGTCGCAACACTTTATTGTGGCAACACCAAACGCAGTACAGCCCGTTGCATAAAGGCGCGGCGGGAAAGCAAGTAGGCTTATCCACGCCACGGGCACAAAGTACTACACAGGGTGCCACGAGCACGTCTCCGCGGTAAAGGTAATCCACGGAGACACCGGGACAAAGGGGCCGGTTGCTCGAGCGAGGGCAAAGGCGCTCGCGTTGGCTTCGGAGGGAGACGGGTCGGCGTAGCTAGGCCACGCACTAGGACACCGTACTGCCCTTCGGCCGTGAGTACGCAGCGGGGCAACAAAAGGTGAGCGTTCGCATCGGGCGCGAGGCGCCGTCAGCGAAGTCCGACGAGCCCCGAGCGACGGGACTCGACGGACGGAAAAGAATACGTGGCTCACCGTTTGAAGTCCCGGACTGTACTCACCGATCCCGACGCAGCGCACGAAAACCTCTCGGGAGGCTTCCGCGCGGCGCCACAGTCAACATCCGCTACCGGGTGAGGGAGTTAAACGTCGCTCCGCCCTTCCCAGCGCGGCAGACAGCAAAGGAGGGGCAGACATGTCGGGACATGAGAATGGCAGAAAAGGCGGCAAAGCCCACGCAAAGGCAGCGGGCCAGTCTCCATTCCCACATCCCCCTCTCCTAAATTTGCCCTTTACCGGTCTGCAAAAGGCAGCCGGACGTCACCCATGCAGTTAAAATGACACTGCTATGAGCGACAGCTAACCTCAGTCCAGCCCTGTTACTGCTGCTAAAGAAAGATCACAGATGAGAAACAAACCATAAATAACGAAGTAACCACATGACACTATACAAATAACTGCGGAAGGGAGCACAGAAACGTGGCAGTAGTGTTCGTGGTGCTGAAGGGGGATAGCGTCCACTGCGCGGAGGTGCGGAAAGGCGTGACAGTGTCCGCTGGGTGCGATGCCCGAGTGCGAGGTCAGAGGTACGGGAGGGGGCTCACTGATGGCTCGTTGCTGGTCTTGATAAGCAGCGAGTCCGACGAACGCTGCCTCGGCTGTGCTTCGGAGGCCCCGCATTTCTGGCTCGATGACGGAGCTGGACGTTGCGGGAAGCCGGGCCTCTCCGGTGGTCAGGGAGGCCGAACCAAA